CTCCAGCTGCAGTGGCTGCTGATAGCTTCTAGTGCTGCGCCTCAACTCCTTGCCCCACCAGGGAGGGTCCTCATTTACCTTTTTATCTCTGGGTCACAGTGCCAGGCCTCACCGTAAGCACTTTGTAAATATTTAATATACCTACAAGTTAGGTGCTATTATTCTTGGACTGAAAATCTGCGGTGCAGAGAGTTTTAGCCTGTCCAAGATCCCGCAGGACCAGTAAGAGATAGTCTGGCTCCACTGAGCTCCCCTGTTCTAACAGGTACAGCTTGGATCAGTGACTTAAAATTTCTTTGAGGGGCCCTCCCTGGTGGTGCAACAGGCTAAAGCCCAGCACTACAAAACTAGCAGCAGCTGCTTCAGCTCAAGTTCCATCCCCTGCCAGGGAGCTGACCCACACTGTTCGGCAGATCTCTCCTGACCGGCCTGCTGCTCCCCTCGACTGTATACTTCGTCAACCTGCCTGTTCTGCTCCCCACTCTGTCTCTGGTGACTCTTCTCACGCTCCGGCACCTCTGGCCTGTACCCCAGTTCTGTGTGCATAAATAATCTTTAAAATTTTTTCTTTGAGGGCCCCCATGTTGGTGCAAAAGGTTAAGGAAAAGCACTGTGAAGCTGTCACAGACACTGCCATAGGAGTTCTATCTCCAGCCAGGGAGGGACCTGCAGGCACAGCAGACCCCTCTTGTCTATCCCACTGCTCCTCTCAGCAGTGTGTCTCAGTGGATCTGCCAGTTCTGCTCCCCACTCTGTGTCTGGTGAATCCTCTCACCCTCCCAACCCCTGGCCTGTACCCCAGCTCTTGTGTGCATAAATAAATAAACTTTTTAAAAAGCTTCTCTAAGTCCCTTAGCAGAGCTATGTTTTCCGTTGGTGCTCAGTACATGCAGACACAACGTGCACATACACAACTGAAACACGAAGCAATACTCTCTTTGGCATTATGGGCATGGGTGTGTTTCATTTTAATGCCCATTAAGCCCCACTAGAATGATTGATTGATGAGTCATGTTGGTGACTAACCCCAATACAAACATTTCTTAAACATTTAGTTATTTGTGCATACAAGAACTGGGTACAGGCCAGAGATGGGGGGGGGTGTGAGGGAACCCACCAGAGACAGAGCAGGCAGCAGAACAGGCAGATCCACTGAAATCCACCGCTGACGGGAACAGCTGGGGAGACAGGGAGGTCTGCTGCGCCGTGAAGGTCACCTCTCTGGCGGGGCCTGGAGCTCCAGCTGCAGTGG